CGCACACACACGCACACATGCACATATACACACACACACACACACACACACACACACACACACACGCACATATATATATAAACGTGCACACACACACACACACACACACACGCACATATACATATGAACGTGCATGCACGCACACACAATCCCAGCTAGACACATCACTCGGCTTCAATGCAAGGACAAGAGGGGAAAACACACTGACAAAAAATACACAGAGCTCAAATTACAAACATGACAACACACACACACGCAGATTTATCACTTGTATAATCCTAACATTCATGTTCAGGTATAAGATGATATTAAAAAAATCTTTTTGGGCACCAAAAACACAATTTAACAAATTGTGTCAACAGATTTTTTTTGTTATTAATTTGTCAATTATCTCTTCAAGTTAAAGACCTGCATCCTTCTGAGTGAGCTATTTTTTACAGCGCACTTTTCAATTAACAGCATATACAAAATCCTCTACTTGTAAAATAAGCCAAACACTTGACCACCACAGGATTAAAATATCACCCACTATTACAGGGTAGCCAAGGGGGATTCAGGGGATGTGATTTTTATGGAAAAATCAAGACACTACACTTAAATTGTAAGCATTATCCATGGCGGCGTATTCGTTCAAAAGTGGAAACGGCAGTGTGAAATTCTACATCACACAAGTCTAAATCCCAAATCACCATGACATTTTACAAGCAGGGAAATCTTTTTTTTTTTCTTCAATAAGATCTATCTTGTTATGGCTGTTCATTGACTAACGTAGAATTCATATCCACGGTAATATCTCAATAATAGCCTATTCATCTGAGGGGAACAAGTGCTTAGCATCAACAAGCGAGGGGGAAAATACCTAATAAAAAGGGAACAGTAACAGCATAAGCAGCTGCGCTGAGCCACAAATACACCTAAATATCCTTAACCACATTACAGCCAGAAAAGATTACCACAGTGATGTGTTAAGTAAATACTGAATTTAATGCGATGCACTTATATCGCTATATCTCTCGCCCCAAGTGCTGTACTTTGTTATTTAGTGTCTGGTGATGATTCTCACACACACACACACACACACACACACACACACACACACACACAATAACACAAACACACAAACACATAGCAGCAGGGTTTGGGAGCTGTCTCACAGACACAGCCAGAGACGATTTACAGAGATGAGTAGAGCTTCGAATGCCATGAAGGCAGGGAGCACAGCGCACAGCTCTGGTTGTCTGGTTGACACCAATGTGTCTGGGAGCTGACGGCCTGACACGGGTTTACATGTCATACCACACACACACACTCTCGACACACTCGGAGCAATGCAGGGAGGTAAACAATGGCTGCTCTGAGACTGTATTTTCTAGTAATTTAATAATACGCGTTACATCCTGCAATTATTTTTCTCAATTAATCTTAAAAAGATGCAGCACAGTTAGTTTTGTCACAGCTAAAAATAATGACAGTAACCTTAGAAGCTGAAATAGATGTTGTGTGTACTTGTGAAATAAGTGGAGCAGAAAAGGAAGTGAATGAAATGTTTTTCTTTAATGACAGAGAATAAAGTGCGCGTGAGAAGGTCTGAATCCACAAAGCTTCTTTCTGGCTCAAGTTCCTCAGCCCCGTCACATTGATTTCCCAGGCCCCACAATCCCATGCGGCAGGCCTCTGCCCTTTCTATCCCAAGCTCTATACTTCCATGACGACACTTCACCTTTAACCTCGTGCTCCCGAGGGCGTGACCCCATCCTCTCTGAACACAAACCAGCCCAATCAGAAAGCTCCGCTCGCTGACAAAAACACCCAAAGGCCTCCGCTCCTATGACAGTGTGTGACATCAGGTCAGATTCCTTTAGCATAACAACTACCACTATGGGCTTGTGTGAGGACTCTGTCTTTGTCAGCACAAAACAGCCGTCACAATCCACAGAGAAAAAGTCTGATTTGAAAAAAAAAAGAGGGCGAGAAAAGGTCTGATTTTAACCAGGAGGGACACGGCACTGAGGAAAATGTTTCTGTCCTGCTGAAATATAACACCTTAAGGTTCTCCCTAAGATGTCTCCCCACAGTGTCAGAGATGACGGGACATGCAGTTCAGTGCCAAAAATTGATCAGAGGTAATTAAATCAAAATCAGATAATATCCTTCAACAGGAAAGTCTTAATGTAAAGTAGAAAGGGGCTAACAGAAGTATTAGCCCAGGTATCCTGTGCCCCAGGGTGAGTGAGGGGCATGTAAGGCTCTCTACAACCCCCTCCCCAACTCCACCCAAGTGGTGCAGTGTGACCTTTCCCTCAGTGCAGGGAGCATATCTGGAGAGAGCGGGGGGCACATTTCTCAGGCAAGGGCACAGGGGTTATTTTGGTTTGAATTTCCTCTCTGTTCTCTGGCCTGCAATATAAAGAGGAAGAAAAAAAAAGAGAAACTTGCCCAGGCAGGCATTGCCCCCAGCGTTCGTTACCTTTTCTCCAGCAACACACCCATTCCCATCGCCTCAAACTCATACCCACAACACACACACACACACACACACACACACACACACACACACACACACACACACACACACACACACACACACACACACACNCACACACACACACACACACACACACACACACACACACACACACACACACACACACACCCTCTGGCCACAAGAAGTGCTTAGGAAACCAGACACAAATCAGAACATGGGAAGTGATTTAGTGCCTCCTTCATAACTCACAACCATGTCCAGGACCTGTCCAGCATGTCATCCAAGTCAGTGACATATTGATCTACTTCGCTGTCTCTATTTTGTTTCAGCACAGAGCTGCACACTTTGTTTTCTGTCTCCACCTTTTTGGAAAAGGTCAACTACACGTGAAAACATTTCGAGATTAGACACACCTACATGACAGAGACTTTTATTTCGAATAAAAATGATAGTGTGTGTGTGTA